AGAAAATCAACTCATGGGTTTCCTTTTCTTTCCCATATGAGTATGGGGCTCCGCTTGGCGGCCCTTCAGGCCGCCGGAGCTCCGCTATAAGTTAATTTATATTAGGTTATACATTTGATAAGAAACAGTCAGTGGTAAGTAACAACTTTTGACCCGAGATTATAAGAGCTGTTAGATAAAGGTGTTCCACTGTACTTCAGAAGGGTTAAAATATTGTCCAATCATTCTCACGACTTGTTCTTGATTTTTAAATGACCTCTTAAATGAATCAACCCGTAGTATAGTTTCTATTTAGAAGGCTGAAAAAGTTAAAAAGTAAAAAACACTGAACGTTTTTCAGGGTCAACTTCAGGGTTAGCAAATATTATGGACAGGTAGTATATGTTTCGCTGATGCAGCCCTAGCTCTGGGCGCATGAGAATTTTCGGAACACAAGAGAAATGCAAAAACTATACTGTGGGGGAAGGACAACCTGTGATCAGGGCTTCAGAAAGAAGAATCTGCACATGGTTGTTCAAGTTACATGTATCCAGGGGAGATTTCAAGATGCTGTAGTGTGTACAAAATATCTCCATTGTAATTAATACATTGTATAGACATCAATGTTTAAATTAGTCATTGAGTTTAAACAGTCATTTGAGATCAATCTTTGAAATAATAAAAGGAAATTGAATTCTGCACTTACAATTATTTTTCAGTCCTATCTGCTTGACAATAGCATCCATGGTCCAGCCATAGAGTTCCTGAACACATAATCATCGCATTATTAACATCTGACATCTTTTTATGTTTAGTTGTTGACATTTAAATGGCTTTGATTAATGGGTCTTGGTTTTAAAATGACCAATACAGGGTAACTGTTTCTTTCTTGAAATTTCAAATTATTAAATCTCTATCAATTATCTAAATCTCAAAAGTACGAAGGTGTGGAGTGAATGGCAAGTGTATCACTTCATGTGTACAGTAATATTAGTCAGACTTACTAGTATTTATCTAGCTTGTCACCATGAAGAAATAATCATATTTACCTCATACGAAACAATCTTGAGTGGTAACTCATACTGCATTTCATTTCTCTTCACTGTCTGTTGTGAAACAAATGCATTCTGTCATTTCACTGCCTTTCGATGCATATGAAGTAAAATACATGTATGACTTCCACATTGGTAGGGTGTTGGTGATGTATTGGTCTTGTGTCAGCTGACGCATTGGCTAACATGGTGGTTGGGTTGGAATTCTATAGCTTAACCCAGATTCCACAGTAATATTGCATTATTTCACATGCTACCTTATTTCACTAAATTTCGTGAGTATTTAATTTTGCGAAAAGTCAAGCGCCATATTTTGCAGGTATTAAATTTCATGATCTTCAGAGGAAATTACAATTGGAGTGTACTAAATTTCGGGACTTTTTTCAATTCTTTAATATGTAGCGTTGACCTCAGAACTGTAACAACATAATTAATATGATCGTTATTGTAAACAATAGCAAACATAACAAAGTGTGACAAAGTTTGATGACAGTACAATTGAGATTTTGAAGAACTTAGCAGCAGAGGATCTGACAGTGAGACCAAAACAAACAAACCAAACAACAAACTCCTAAACATGAAGCTGAGACATGTTGGAATAACAGTGATGAAATAACAGCTTGAATTTCATTTAGTTAATTGATATTACTGTATATAGGTATTAAATTTTGCCATTTAATCCTCACATGTCCTATATTTTGTGAGTATTAAATTTCACGATTTTTTCAAAATCGCAAAAATTGCAAAATTTAGTGAGAATAAGGTACTTGTAGTGCAAATGCTCCCAGTGTGTGGCTTCAAAATAAGTTGATATCCAGCATTCAAATTCTGTTAGGGCTCTACGCATTTCAATATCTTTAATCCTCCATCAAGAATTCATTTACTTCATGTTGGTTAAGTGCCAGTTATTTTCGTATGAGTAGCAGTGCTTCATCATAATTTAACAACTGTTTAGAGCTCAAATGTTGCCAAAGTCACCATGATTATCGTGTCATTGATATATGTATAAAATTATATGTTTTGCTCTTTACATGTACCTCCAATGAATCATCCCTGTAACCAGTTATTCCCTCATCCACAGACAATAGAATCAATTTTAACCCATAGTCATACTCTTCATTGAGTTTTTTAAGTACATAAGCCAACACCGTGGAATCTGAAACAAAAACAACAGTTACAGTATTGTGATAACTTCTTCATGAGCTTAGTAAATGACAGCTGCTGGAGTTAAGGAATGGATTATTCAGAGGAGGGGTTGGACAATAACATGCACCTTTCAATGAACTTATCACAGGCTAAAATGTCAGTGGAAAGTAGCTTTCAGGCATCAAGCTTAAAAGCTTGTTAAAAAGCCAGCGTAGTACATGTATTTTCAGCCGCATTCCTGCAAGTAATCTCCATTTATACACACATGTATTATGAAAGGCATCCTCAAGAAGGGTATCCTCATTTGGGAGATTAGTTACATGTTTATGTAGGTAGGTTATGCATGCCCCCCTCCCTCACCCCCCTACATGCTGTATGATAATGAAATTCAAACCTTTTCAGAACATCCCCACATTGCCATCAGCATTTTAACACAAGTTATGCTGTTCATAATCATTTTATCAGCCTTGACCACATCAACACTGTGTCATACATGTCCATGTAGGTCAGAATTTTACCCTAATAGGACCTCTTACAAGGAGCCTTTTACAAGAAGGAGCATAATATCAGTAGCAGGTTGACGCATTACCTTTTCCACCAGATGCACCAATAGCTACAACTTGTCCTTTTGTAAAGAGTTTATTTGAGATTATTGTGTGGTGGACCTCAGTCTCAAATACAACATAAAAGCACTCCTTACACAAAGCATCACCCTATCGTAAAGTGTTTCAAAAACAACAAAATTACTAATGCATACATAACGAACACATTAAAAATATATCTAGAAGTAGCAATGGTCTCTCAAAAATGAGGATAATGTGTCTTAAGGCAGCTGTGGACCGAGTATCTGTTGGAGTGTCTGTCAACATGTTGATAGAGTATCTGCTGATATATTGACCAACATCGGTCACCTCTCAACTGACACAAGTTGGCTGATACTGGTCAATAAGCCACTGACACTTGGTCGATACTCTATGACGCTTGGCTGATACTCTTATGCCACTCTGGCTTTCCCCATACGGGCACTGAGGCTAGAGAGACTGTTATTTTGCACCCTCAAGCTCTGTGAGTTAGGGGGAGGAGATGGCTGACATTTCAAACCATTACAGGAGAAATAATGATTAATAAGACACGATATACCACTGATAGTTGACTGGTATACTCCTGACATCTGATCATAACAGTAACAGTTGAAGTGTCAACCGAGTATCAACTGACATACTGACTGTATTATAATATGTCGACCAATAATGGCAACCAATGGTCCACCAAGCTGAAGAACATTGCAAGGGACCCTCGACTGATTGTCAATCAACATAGCCGAGTATCAGTCCAGATGTCGATCAAGTGTCAGTTTTAATGTGGACTGATACTTTGCCAATAGTATCGACTGATACTCAACCTACAGATGCGTTAAGTACACATGATCCAAAATGATTCAATTAGAAAATCGATTCCCAGAGTGTCACATTGAACAATCTTTCCTGAACAGTGCTCAGTAGGCAGCAAAAAACGTATCACTAAAATAAGGTTTAAGATTATGGCATCTAACAACGTTTAAAAAAGCCTTGAGCAAAATCAGTTGTTAAAAAAACTATCTTATCGGTCAAATGCCCCCAAAATTCACCTAGTTAGTTTGTGATGCAATAATTTTGTAAGTCAATCTTTCAATTCAAAAGCGACTTTTTTGAATTNAGAAAATCAACTCATGGGTTTCCTTTTCTTTCCCATATGAGTATGGGGCTCCGCTTGGCGGCCCTTCAGGCCGCCGGAGCTCCGCTATAAGTTAATTTATATTAGGTTATACATTTGATAAGAAACAGTCAGTGGTAAGTAACAACTTTTGACCCGAGATTATAAGAGCTGTTAGATAAAGGTGTTCCACTGTACTTCAGAAGGGTTAAAATATTGTCCAATCATTCTCACGACTTGTTCTTGATTTTTAAATGACCTCTTAAATGAATCAACCCGTAGTATAGTTTCTATTTAGAAGGCTGAAAAAGTTAAAAAGTAAAAAACACTGAACGTTTTTCAGGGTCAACTTCAGGGTTAGCAAATATTATGGACAGGTAGTATATGTTTCGCTGATGCAGCCCTAGCTCTGGGCGCATGAGAATTTTCGGAACACAAGAGAAATGCAAAAACTATACTGTGGGGGAAGGACAACCTGTGATCAGGGCTTCAGAAAGAAGAATCTGCACATGGTTGTTCAAGTTACATGTATCCAGGGGAGATTTCAAGATGCTGTAGTGTGTACAAAATATCTCCATTGTAATTAATACATTGTATAGACATCAATGTTTAAATTAGTCATTGAGTTTAAACAGTCATTTGAGATCAATCTTTGAAATAATAAAAGGAAATTGAATTCTGCACTTACAATTATTTTTCAGTCCTATCTGCTTGACAATAGCATCCATGGTCCAGCCATAGAGTTCCTGAACACATAATCATCGCATTATTAACATCTGACATCTTTTTATGTTTAGTTGTTGACATTTAAATGGCTTTGATTAATGGGTCTTGGTTTTAAAATGACCAATACAGGGTAACTGTTTCTTTCTTGAAATTTCAAATTATTAAATCTCTATCAATTATCTAAATCTCAAAAGTACGAAGGTGTGGAGTGAATGGCAAGTGTATCACTTCATGTGTACAGTAATATTAGTCAGACTTACTAGTATTTATCTAGCTTGTCACCATGAAGAAATAATCATATTTACCTCATACGAAACAATCTTGAGTGGTAACTCATACTGCATTTCATTTCTCTTCACTGTCTGTTGTGAAACAAATGCATTCTGTCATTTCACTGCCTTTCGATGCATATGAAGTAAAATACATGTATGACTTCCACATTGGTAGGGTGTTGGTGATGTATTGGTCTTGTGTCAGCTGACGCATTGGCTAACATGGTGGTTGGGTTGGAATTCTATAGCTTAACCCAGATTCCACAGTAATATTGCATTATTTCACATGCTACCTTATTTCACTAAATTTCGTGAGTATTTAATTTTGCGAAAAGTCAAGCGCCATATTTTGCAGGTATTAAATTTCATGATCTTCAGAGGAAATTACAATTGGAGTGTACTAAATTTCGGGACTTTTTTCAATTCTTTAATATGTAGCGTTGACCTCAGAACTGTAACAACATAATTAATATGATCGTTATTGTAAACAATAGCAAACATAACAAAGTGTGACAAAGTTTGATGACAGTACAATTGAGATTTTGAAGAACTTAGCAGCAGAGGATCTGACAGTGAGACCAAAACAAACAAACCAAACAACAAACTCCTAAACATGAAGCTGAGACATGTTGGAATAACAGTGATGAAATAACAGCTTGAATTTCATTTAGTTAATTGATATTACTGTATATAGGTATTAAATTTTGCCATTTAATCCTCACATGTCCTATATTTTGTGAGTATTAAATTTCACGATTTTTTCAAAATCGCAAAAATTGCAAAATTTAGTGAGAATAAGGTACTTGTAGTGCAAATGCTCCCAGTGTGTGGCTTCAAAATAAGTTGATATCCAGCATTCAAATTCTGTTAGGGCTCTACGCATTTCAATATCTTTAATCCTCCATCAAGAATTCATTTACTTCATGTTGGTTAAGTGCCAGTTATTTTCGTATGAGTAGCAGTGCTTCATCATAATTTAACAACTGTTTAGAGCTCAAATGTTGCCAAAGTCACCATGATTATCGTGTCATTGATATATGTATAAAATTATATGTTTTGCTCTTTACATGTACCTCCAATGAATCATCCCTGTAACCAGTTATTCCCTCATCCACAGACAATAGAATCAATTTTAACCCATAGTCATACTCTTCATTGAGTTTTTTAAGTACATAAGCCAACACCGTGGAATCTGAAACAAAAACAACAGTTACAGTATTGTGATAACTTCTTCATGAGCTTAGTAAATGACAGCTGCTGGAGTTAAGGAATGGATTATTCAGAGGAGGGGTTGGACAATAACATGCACCTTTCAATGAACTTATCACAGGCTAAAATGTCAGTGGAAAGTAGCTTTCAGGCATCAAGCTTAAAAGCTTGTTAAAAAGCCAGCGTAGTACATGTATTTTCAGCCGCATTCCTGCAAGTAATCTCCATTTATACACACATGTATTATGAAAGGCATCCTCAAGAAGGGTATCCTCATTTGGGAGATTAGTTACATGTTTATGTAGGTAGGTTATGCATGCCCCCCTCCCTCACCCCCCTACATGCTGTATGATAATGAAATTCAAACCTTTTCAGAACATCCCCACATTGCCATCAGCATTTTAACACAAGTTATGCTGTTCATAATCATTTTATCAGCCTTGACCACATCAACACTGTGTCATACATGTCCATGTAGGTCAGAATTTTACCCTAATAGGACCTCTTACAAGGAGCCTTTTACAAGAAGGAGCATAATATCAGTAGCAGGTTGACGCATTACCTTTTCCACCAGATGCACCAATAGCTACAACTTGTCCTTTTGTAAAGAGTTTATTTGAGATTATTGTGTGGTGGACCTCAGTCTCAAATACAACATAAAAGCACTCCTTACACAAAGCATCACCCTATCGTAAAGTGTTTCAAAAACAACAAAATTACTAATGCATACATAACGAACACATTAAAAATATATCTAGAAGTAGCAATGGTCTCTCAAAAATGAGGATAATGTGTCTTAAGGCAGCTGCGGACCGAGTATCTGTTGGAGTGTCTGTCAACATGTTGATAGAGTATCTGCTGATATATTGACCAACATCGGTCACCTCTCAACTGACACAAGTTGGCTGATACTGGTCAATAAGCCACTGACACTTGGTCGATACTCTATGACGCTTGGCTGATACTCTTATGCCACTCTGGCTTTCCCCATACGGGCACTGAGGCTAGAGAGACTGTTATTTTGCACCCTCAAGCTCTGTGAGTTAGGGGGAGGAGATGGCTGACATTTCAAACCATTACAGGAGAAATAATGATTAATAAGACACGATATACCACTGATAGTTGACTGGTATACTCCTGACATCTGATCATAACAGTAACAGTTGAAGTGTCAACCGAGTATCAACTGACATACTGACTGTATTATAATATGTCGACCAATAATGGCAACCAATGGTCCACCAAGCTGAAGAACATTGCAAGGGACCCTCGACTGATTGTCAATCAACATAGCCGAGTATCAGTCCAGATGTCGATCAAGTGTCAGTTTTAATGTGGACTGATACTTTGCCAATAGTATCGACTGATACTCAACCTACAGATGCGTTAAGTACACATGATCCAAAATGATTCAATTAGAAAATCGATTCCCAGAGTGTCACATTGAACAATCTTTCCTGAACAGTGCTCAGTAGGCAGCAAAAAACGTATCACTAAAATAAGGTTTAAGATTATGGCATCTAACAACGTTTAAAAAAGCCTTGAGCAAAATCAGTTGTTAAAAAAACTATCTTATCGGTCAAATGCCCCCAAAATTCACCTAGTTAGTTTGTGATGCAATAATTTTGTAAGTCAATCTTTCAATTCAAAAGCGACTTTTTTGAATTAGTGTCGTACCAAACGCAACTTACCGTTTTTGGTCGCTTTAAAATGGCTTTATTGCCACAGATCTTACAACAAAGAGGCATCCCCTTCCTTTAAAAAAAACAAATAAGCCTAACTATGTTTCTGGAGCCAAAATTCTCAATTATCGACCACCATGTTGGTTTGTTTTTGATCCCAGTCTCCCAATCAGCCACGTGACATGCGAAACCTGGTTGATTTTGCTTCATCGGCAATTTTCGTTTTGCTTGTGGCAGCTAAACCATGTGTGATATATTTTCAGCGTAAAATGTTTCGTTCCTTTTACATGAGAGAGCAAGGCACACTTCCTGCGTTTCTTCTTCCCCAAGCTGAGCGAACGAAACGAGTGCGATCCGTGAAACTGAGTCGCAATGGCGAAATGGAACAGGTACATAAATCGGGGATAAACTGTGTTGACATCGACACAGGCGAAGGTAAATATCTGTTGTCTTCGGGTTCAAATGGAAAAATAGCCATTCACGATATAGAGGAATGTTTTTACCAAGACACATTCAAATGCACGTCAGTCGCTACGGTGGAAAGAACTTTGAAAGACAGTCACAAACTCAGTGTGGAAACTGTACAGTGGTACCCAAATGACACTGGCATGTTTTTATCCAGTTCAGTCGATTCGACACTCAAAGTATGGGATACAAATGCACTCGAAGTTGTTGAGAACTTTCGGCTCGAAGGAATGGTTTACCATCATCAAATGCCAAAGAATGCCAAGAAACATTGTCTGGTGGCGACGGCATGTGAGGACTCCAGAGTGTACCTTTGTGATTTGAAATCAGGTTCTGCGATTCATATTTTAAAAGGGCATTCGAGGGCAGTCATTTCACTGGCCTGGTCACCAAGGAATGACTACCTTTTAGCTAGCGGTAGCCGTGACAATAAAGTACTTTTGTGGGATGTGCGTAAAGCAGTGGGAAGCATCCTCTCGCTGGATCAGCACAATGGTAAAGGCGGCTCTAGATCATCAACTATAAACACAGCTCACAACGGTCACGTGAATGGTATTTCCTTTTCACCTGATGGATTGTATTTACTGACTTATGGGACAGATGATCGTTTAAGATTGTGGGACACGTTCACTGGCAAGAACACCCTGGTAAATTTTGGGCGTGTCCACAATCCCAGTCGGAAATCTGTTAAACTTTGCCTATCCAGTGGAACTACAAGGGAAGTGGCTTTTGTTCCATCTGGTAGCAGTATAGAGGTGTTTGAAATTGAGACAGGAAAGCATATAGCCACTCTCACTGGTCATTACAACAATGTAAACTGTTGCACATTTCATAAACATTTTCAAGCTCTCTTTAGTGGAGCAAATGATACAAATCTCTTGATATGGCTTCCTGAAATGAACCGCACTGGAGATAAAAAGGAAGGTCAATCAGCTGAGGCTGTTGCTAGAGCTGCAGATCAAGTTGTCAATCCTTATCAAGACTCCTGGAGCAGCGATGAAGAGGAAAAGTGAAAAAAAATAAATAAATAAACAGCAACAACACTGGTCAACAACAACAAAATTTACATGTATATAGCAAATGGACTTCCTTCCCACCCATATGGGGTGTAGCTGCAATAGTCCTAGTTACTCCATATTATTGAAGAACTGGTGAAGTGAAAGAAATCTCTTTTCTTACTTTTCAAACTCATTGATAATTCATCAAGTTAAATGAAAATCACTACTGTGAAGGAGGTTTGGGTACCTGGTCTTAATTAGCATAGGTTTTTATGATTTTAGTTTTCCGTTTACTCCTTAGTTTTTGTTTCAATTAAGAAGATACATTGTCTATCAAACACTCAAGACAGTGTCTCCTCGGCCATCCAAACACCTCAAATTTTGTCAAAAATACTCTGCTGCATGTAGTAGTAGTAGACTTTATTGGAGAGGGTAACATTTGACAGTAACAAACCGATAAACTAATGGCCCTCTAAATAAACAAAAAATGGAAATTAATTAAAATCACTATGTACAACCTATAAATATGACTGATTTACAATGTCTAAGTAGTAAAAATGTAAAACTGCTAGATACTAATAAATGATTGAGTAGTAAATTGATTTTTTAAAATTGATTTTAAAATTATTGTTGTATTTTCAACTCTCTTCTGCAGACTCGGTGTTTGGATATCGTAATGAAGCACCTAACCTAACCTAAACTAATCAATAACTCATCAAAGAACAAAGGGAAATCGTAACTATGATGATGTTTGGATATCTGATCTTAACTGGCATGGATTCATACAATTTTATTTCTCTGTTTTTTCCTTAGTTTTAGTTTTGATTGAAAAGATGTTTCAAACAATCAAGACAGTATTTCACTACATTTCCAACATTATGCATGAAAACTCTTCTAACACTCCACTGAGCCTGATAGTTTCTGTTCTGATGTGAAGTATATATGAAATAATTCATATATGAACTGCGGTTGTAGATGAAGGTGAAGAATGATCATCGCAGTAAATTTACAAATTATAATTTTTATTTCCTCAAAAGCTTGACAATGTAACAATGGAACCTCTGCTCTGGGCTGACATGTACATTTGTTGTGGAAAAATGCACACATGATCTTTAGATCAATAACATATTACCACACTTTGAATGCTGACCACTTGGCAGATCTATTGTGGGGAAGGGGTGAGAGCTCAATCATATACTGGTAACCTGCACTTCAGGGTATAGGGAAGGCAAAAACTTGAAAAATTTCTATCCCCCTACCCCTCCACACCCACATCTACCCCCGTTCTCCCTTTCCCATCTTCCCAGGGGCAGATTCAGAGGGGTGGATTGGGTGGCTAGCCACCCCCCTGTTTTTGAAATAAAACTTAAAATATTTGAAAACGGTTGTGAAAATTATGGCAGAAATAAGGGCAAACTCTCTGAACAGGTACCTCAATGTAATGTCTTCTTTCCGATAATTAACTCTTTAACTGGCAATTGTACATTTTTGTACACTGAGGGGTCATGCACTTTGTACCACTTGTGACGTCATCAATTTAAGCTTCAATAGATATTCTTGATAACTAGGATAGATCTATCTGCACAACTGTCTGTTTTGGACATCAATCCCATTCTGACATAGCTACATGTAATTAAAAAAATGTGAGCAGTTTTTGGTGCAAAAATGGTGGTTAAATGACCCATTACACTTAAAATCGATCACGGTTCCATTTCCAGACTTTAAACATAACCAGTTGTTGTGTATTATTGTTTCTGGGGCTCAAAATGGCGAATTTGAGCGATTTGGTGGGTTTGGTGTTGACTGTTATTACACGTTGTATCACCCATAAACGACAATACACAACAACTGAGGTAGGTTTACGTTTATTTTGAGTTTAACATAGACGTTACTCGATATAAGTTTACGATATTAAGACTCTTCAATATTCGCATACATTTCGTTATATTTGGAACATATAAACACTGACACGCCTCTTCTGTGGGTGCCATGTACTGTAACGTGAGTAACAGAACATCTGAATGTCTTTGAGATTTGTTATTGCAACGACAAGCTGTTATTCAAGAGCCCTGACCCTTTGAAATGAATACTTCGTCTAATGTATAAGGACTCTTCAGTTGGTCAAAACTTAGAGATAAGTCATCTTTTGACGTCCGTGACAGCCTTGTCGGAACGCCATTTTAATGTCACGAAACGCAAAAGCTGGGAAACGTTCTCTGGCACAACGAAGACTCCTGTCGAAATATAACTCAGTAAAACGTCAAGTTCTTTGATGTTCTTGCCCGAACTAAACTAAGACCTCGGAAACGTCAAATGAAAATGAGCGGCGCGGCGTACGGCAAAGTTACGTTCGCATATCCCCGCTGAGAATAGCGTGACGTAACCTGTCGCGTGTCTACTTATATAATTTTAACGCTAGCGCTTGAAAACGTGACCTGACATGGGTTGCCTCAATAAAAATCTTCGTGTACCTGCCGTTCAGATTACAACAGACTGTTACAGAGCGTAGAGGAGATCAGTCAAGATTAGCCTAGCACCGATGGAAGACCACTCAAACGAGTGTAAGCTTGGAGATAACATCTCGACGAAAGGAGTGAGTCGTACAACGAATGAAGTTCTGGACAAAGATAAATACATGGACATCGATGAATTCATGACCGTTCTACGAGACGTGGAACTGATCACTCCCTTTGGGAAGGTACAAGGGGCAAGTTATACAGATGTGCACCAGGTTGATTTTCAAGCTCTTCATGCGAAAGAGAAAGACTTTACACTCGCAGGGAGAGTCATACCCCGTACACCAACTGTATTGCAAGTTATCGAAATGGAGAGACGATTACGCGAGGTAGATACGAACAAACTAGTGCCTTACTCAAAGCAGAACAGTCGGCAGATCGTGGAGGATTCTGTGACTACAAACTATTTATTCTTACTGTTAAGTCGAAGAGCGGCTGAGTCAGATTGATGTGTTGGTGTTTCTGTAATAATCGCGAAAGTATGCGAAGTTTTCGCTGCTTTCCGTTGATTACATAACCTCGCCATATTTGAACATCAGGGCACCGCTTCGCGGAAAACGTGCAAACGTTTTGAATTGTCCAAATGTTTCTGAAAGGAAAACTTTCACTGAAATTTAATATCACCATAATGCAAAGTAAGTATTTATTTTTCTTTGGCAAGAACGAGAAGGCACGTTATAAATAACTTTGTGATTGTTGATACCCGGTGTGCCTTGAGAGCACATNCACGATTTTTTCAAAATCGCAAAAATTGCAAAATTTAGTGAGAATAAGGTACTTGTAGTGCAAATGCTCCCAGTGTGTGGCTTCAAAATAAGTTGATATCCAGCATTCAAATTCTGTTAGGGCTCTACGCATTTCAATATCTTTAATCCTCCATCAAGAATTCATTTACTTCATGTTGGTTAAGTGCCAGTTATTTTCGTATGAGTAGCAGTGCTTCATCATAATTTAACAACTGTTTAGAGCTCAAATGTTGCCAAAGTCACCATGATTATCGTGTCATTGATATATGTATAAAATTATATGTTTTGCTCTTTACATGTACCTCCAATGAATCATCCCTGTAACCAGTTATTCCCTCATCCACAGACAATAGAATCAATTTTAACCCATAGTCATACTCTTCATTGAGTTTTTTAAGTACATAAGCCAACACCGTGGAATCTGAAACAAAAACAACAGTTACAGTATTGTGATAACTTCTTCATGAGCTTAGTAAATGACAGCTGCTGGAGTTAAGGAATGGATTATTCAGAGGAGGGGTTGGACAATAACATGCACCTTTCAATGAACTTATCACAGGCTAAAATGTCAGTGGAAAGTAGCTTTCAGGCATCAAGCTTAAAAGCTTGTTAAAAAGCCAGCGTAGTACATGTATTTTCAGCCGCATTCCTGCAAGTAATCTCCATTTATACACACATGTATTATGAAAGGCATCCTCAAGAAGGGTATCCTCATTTGGGAGATTAGTTACATGTTTATGTAGGTAGGTTATGCATGCCCCCCTCCCTCACCCCCCTACATGCTGTATGATAATGAAATTCAAACCTTTTCAGAACATCCCCACATTGCCATCAGCATTTTAACACAAGTTATGCTGTTCATAATCATTTTATCAGCCTTGACCACATCAACACTGTGTCATACATGTCCATGTAGGTCAGAATTTTACCCTAATAGGACCTCTTACAAGGAGCCTTTTACAAGAAGGAGCATAATATCAGTAGCAGGTTGACGCATTACCTTTTCCACCAGATGCACCAATAGCTACAACTTGTCCTTTTGTAAAGAGTTTATTTGAGATTATTGTGTGGTGGACCTCAGTCTCAAATACAACATAAAAGCACTCCTTACACAAAGCATCACCCTATCGTAAAGTGTTTCAAAAACAACAAAATTACTAATGCATACATAACGAACACATTAAAAATATATCTAGAAGTAGCAATGGTCTCTCAAAAATGAGGATAATGTGTCTTAAGGCAGCTGTGGACCGAGTATCTGTTGGAGTGTCTGTCAACATGTTGATAGAGTATCTGCTGATATATTGACCAACATCGGTCACCTCTCAACTGACACAAGTTGGCTGATACTGGTCAATAAGCCACTGACACTTGGTCGATACTCTATGACGCTTGGCTGATACTCTTATGCCACTCTGGCTTTCCCCATACGGGCACTGAGGCTAGAGAGACTGTTATTTTGCACCCTCAAGCTCTGTGAGTTAGGGGGAGGAGATGGCTGACATTTCAAACCATTACAGGAGAAATAATGATTAATAAGACACGATATACCACTGATAGTTGACTGGTATACTCCTGACATCTGATCATAACAGTAACAGTTGAAGTGTCAACCGAGTATCAACTGACATACTGACTGTATTATAATATGTCGACCAATAATGGCAACCAATGGTCCACCAAGCTGAAGAACATTGCAAGGGACCCTCGACTGATTGTCAATCAACATAGCCGAGTATCAGTCCAGATGTCGATCAAGTGTCAGTTTTAATGTGGACTGATACTTTGCCAATAGTATCGACTGATACTCAACCTACAGATGCGTTAAGTACACATGATCCAAAATGATTCAATTAGAAAATCGATTCCCAGAGTGTCACATTGAACAATCTTTCCTGAACAGTGCTCAGTAGGCAGCAAAAAACGTATCACTAAAATAAGGTTTAAGATTATGGCATCTAACAACGTTTAAAAAAGCCTTGAGCAAAATCAGTTGTTAAAAAAACTATCTTATCGGTCAAATGCCCCCAAAATTCACCTAGTTAGTTTGTGATGCAATAATTTTGTAAGTCAATCTTTCAATTCAAAAGCGACTTTTTTGAATTAGTGTCGTACCAAACGCAACTTACCGTTTTTGGTCGCTTTAAAATGGCTTTATTGCCACAGATCTTACAACAAAGAGGCATCCCCTTCCTTTAAAAAAAACAAATAAGCCTAACTATGTTTCTGGAGCCAAAATTCTCAATTATCGACCACCATGTTGGTTTGTTTTTGATCCCAGTCTCCCAATCAGCCACGTGACATGCGAAACCTGGTTGATTTTGCTTCATCGGCAATTTTCGTTTTGCTTGTGGCAGCTAAACCATGTGTGATATATTTTCAGCGTAAAATGTTTCGTTCCTTTTACATGAGAGAGCAAGGCACACTTCCTGCGTTTCTTCTTCCCCAAGCTGAGCGAACGAAACGAGTGCGATCCGTGAAACTGAGTCGCAATGGCGAAATGGAACAGGTACATAAATCGGGGATAAACTGTGTTGACATCGACACAGGCGAAGGTAAATATCTGTTGTCTTCGGGTTCAAATGGAAAAATAGCCATTCACGATATAGAGGAATGTTTTTACCAAGACACATTCAAATGCACGTCAGTCGCTACGGTGGAAAGAACTTTGAAAGACAGTCACAAACTCAGTGTGGAAACTGTACAGTGGTACCCAAATGACACTGGCATGTTTTTATCCAGTTCAGTCGATTCGACACTCAAAGTATGGGATACAAATGCACTCGAAGTTGTTGAGAACTTTCGGCTCGAAGGAATGGTTTACCATCATCAAATGCCAAAGAATGCCAAGAAACATTGTCTGGTGGCGACGGCATGTGAGGACTCCAGAGTGTACCTTTGTGATTTGAAATCAGGTTCTGCGATTCATATTTTAAAAGGGCATTCGAGGGCAGTCATTTCACTGGCCTGGTCACCAAGGAATGACTACCTTTTAGCTAGCGGTAGCCGTGACAATAAAGTACTTTTGTGGGATGTGCGTAAAGCAGTGGGAAGCATCCTCTCGCTGGATCAGCACAATGGTAAAGGCGGCTCTAGATCATCAACTATAAACACAGCTCACAACGGTCACGTGAATGGTATTTCCTTTTCACCTGATGGATTGTATTTACTGACTTATGGGACAGATGATCGTTTAAGATTGTGGGACACGTTCACTGGCAAGAACACCCTGGTAAATTTTGGGCGTGTCCACAATCCCAGTCGGAAAGCTGTTAAACTTTGCCTATCCAGTGGAACTACAAGGGAAGTGGCTTTTGTTCCATCTGGTAGCAGTATAGAGGTGTTTGAAATTGAGACAGGAAAGCATATAGCCACTCTCACTGGTCATTACAACAATGTAAACTGTTGCACATTTCATAAACATTTTCAAGCTCTCTTTAGTGGAGCAAATGATACAAATCTCTTGATATGGCTTCCTGAAATGAACCGCACTGGAGATAAAAAGGAAGGTCAATCAGCTGAGGCTGTTGCTAGAGCTGCAGATCAAGTTGTCAATCCTTATCAAGACTCCTGGAGCAGCGATGAAGAGGAAAAGTGAAAAAAAATAAATAAATAAACAGCAACAACACTGGTCAACAACAACAAAATTTACATGTATATAGCAAATGGACTTCCTTCCCACCCATATGGGGTGTAGCTGCAATAGTCCTAGTTACTCCATATTATTGAAGAACTGGTGAAGTGAAAGAAATCTCTTTTCTTACTTTTCAAACTCATTGATAATTCATCAAGTTAAATGAAAATCACTACTGTGAAGGAGGTTTGGGTACCTGGTCTTAATTAGCATAGGTTTTTATGATTTTAGTTTTCCGTTTACTCCTTAGTTTTTGTTTCAATTAAGAAGATACATTGTCTATCAAACACTCAAGACAGTGTCTCCTCGGCCATCCAAACACCTCAAATTTTGTCAAAAATACTCTGCTGCATGTAGTAGTAGTAGACTTTATTGGAGAGGGTAACATTTGACAGTAACAAACCGATAAACTAATGGCCCTCTAAATAAACAAAAAATGGAAATTAATTAAAATCACTATGTACAACCTATAAATATGACTGATTTACAATGTCTAAGTAGTAAAAATGTAAAACTGCTAGATACTAATAAATGATTGAGTAGTAAATTGATTTTTTAAAATTGATTTTAAAATTATTGTTGTATTTTCAACTCTCTTCTGCAGACTCGGTGTTTGGATATCGTAATGAAGCACCTAACCTAACCTAAACTAATCAATAACTCATCAAAGAACAAAGGGAAATCGTAACTATGATGATGTTTGGATATCTGATCTTAACTGGCATGGATTCATACAATTTTATTTCTCTGTTTTTTCCTTAGTTTTAGTTTTGATTGAAAAGATGTTTCAAACAATCAAGACAGTATTTCACTACATTTCCAACATTATGCATGAAAACTCTTCTAACACTCCACTGAGCCTGATAGTTTCTGTTCTGATGTGAAGTATATATGAAATAATTCATATATGAACTGCGGTTGTAGATGAAGGTGAAGAATGATCATCGCAGTAAATTTACAAATTATAATTTTTATTTCCTCAAAAGCTTGACAATGTAACAATGGAACCTCTGCTCTGGGCTGACATGTACATTTGTTGTGGAAAAATGCACACATGATCTTTAGATCAATAACATATTACCACACTTTGAATGCTGACCACTTGGCAGATCTATTGTGGGGAAGGGGTGAGAGCTCAATCATATACTGGTAACCTGCACTTCAGGGTATAGGGAAGGCAAAAACTTGAAAAATTTCTATCCCCCTACCCCTCCACACCCACATCTACCCCCGTTCTCCCTTTCCCATCTTCCCAGGGGCAGATTCAGAGGGGTGGATTGGGTGGCTAGCCACCCCCCTGTTTTTGAAATAAAACTTAAAATATTTGAAAACGGTTGTGAAAATTATGGCAGAAATAAGGGCAAACTCTCTGAACAGGTACCTCAATGTAATGTCTTCTTTCCGATAATTAACTCTTTAACTGGCAATTGTACATTTTTGTACACTGAGGGGTCATGCACTTTGTACCACTTGTGACGTCATCAATTTAAGCTTCAATAGATATTCTTGATAACTAGGATAGATCTATCTGCACAACTGTCTGTTTTGGACATCAATCCCATTCTGACATAGCTACATGTAATTAAAAAAATGTGAGCAGTTTTTGGTGCAAAAATGGTGGTTAAATGACCCATTACACTTAAAATCGATCACGGTTCCATTTCCAGACTTTAAACATAACCAGTTGTTGTGTATTATTGTTTCTGGGGCTCAAAATGGCGAATTTGAGCGATTTGGTGGGTTTGGTGTTGACTGTTATTACACGTTGTATCACCCATAAACGACAATACACAACAACTGAGGTAGGTTTACGTTTATTTTGAGTTTAACATAGACGTTACTCGATATAAGTTTACGATATTAAGACTCTTCAATATTCGCATACATTTCGTTATATTTGGAACATATAAACACTGACACGCCTCTTCTGTGGGTGCCATGTACTGTAACGTGAGTAACAGAACATCTGAATGTCTTTGAGATTTGTTATTGCAACGACAAGCTGTTATTCAAGAGCCCTGACCCTTTGAAATGAATACTTCGTCTAATGTATAAGGACTCTTCAGTTGGTCAAAACTTAGAGATAAGTCATCTTTTGACGTCCGTGACAGCCTTGTCGGAACGCCATTTTAATGTCACGAAACGCAAAAGCTGGGAAACGTTCTCTGGCACAACGAAGACTCCTGTCGAAATATAACTCAGTAAAACGTCAAGTTCTTTGATGTTCTTGCCCGAACTAAACTAAGACCTCGGAAACGTCAAATGAAAATGAGCGGCGCGGCGTACGGCAAAGTTACGTTCGCATATCCCCGCTGAGAATAGCGTGACGTAACCTGTCGCGTGTCTACTTATATAATTTTAACGCTAGCGCTTGAAAACGTGACCTGACATGGGTTGCCTCAATAAAAATCTTCGTGTACCTGCCGTTCAGATTACAACAGACTGTTACAGAGCGTAGAGGAGATCAGTCAAGATTAGCCTAGCACCGATGGAAGACCACTCAAACGAGTGTAAGCTTGGAGATAACATCTCGACGAAAGGAGTGAGTCGTACAACGAATGAAGTTCTGGACAAAGATAAATACATGGACATCGATGAATTCATGACCGTTCTACGAGACGTGGAACTGATCACTCCCTTTGGGAAGGTACAAGGGGCAAGTTATACAGATGTGCACCAGGTTGATTTTCAAGCTCTTCATGCGAAAGAGAAAGACTTTACACTCGCAGGGAGAGTCATACCCCGTACACCAACTGTATTGCAAGTTATCGAAATGGAGAGACGATTACGCGAGGTAGATACGAACAAACTAGTGCCTTACTCAAAGCAGAACAGTCGGCAGATCGTGGAGGATTCTGTGACTACAAACTATTTATTCTTACTGTTAAGTCGAAGAGCGGCTGAGTCAGATTGATGTGTTGGTGTTTCTGTAATAATCGCGAAAGTATGCGAAGTTTTCGCTGCTTTCCGTTGATTACATAACCTCGCCATATTTGAACATCAGGGCACCGCTTCGCGGAAAACGTGCAAACGTTTTGAATTGTCCAAATGTTTCTGAAAGGAAAACTTTCACTGAAATTTAATATCACCATAATGCAAAGTAAGTATTTATTTTTCTTTGGCAAGAACGAGAAGGCACGTTATAAATAACTTTGTGATTGTTGATACCCGGTGTGCCTTGAGAGCACATGATTTCTCTCTGGAAACGTTTTTCACCCACGCACCTTTAGAATCAATTTCTTCATTTAAATTCTGTCTTATATCTATTTAGTCTTTTTAAGGCGAAGAAAAGTTCATTGCTGAACAGTTGTGAATAAATAATAATGGTGTTGCTGTGTTGCGCCTGTAAAATACTAGTAGTAAGAATCGGGATTTTGCTGTATGAAAAATCCGCTATCAAATTAAACTCGATCTCAACAACTGTTTTCCTACTTCTACTTAACAACTCTCTTTATATATATTTTTTGTGACCAGTGTTACCATAAACTGAAAAATTTTTGGGAGGTTTTCATCACGCGAAATTTCACGCGTAGCATTTATGTTATGTAATAATACGAAAAAAATATCTAAAATAGGCAGAATATTTTGATTCATCCGTTGCCTAAAACTTTCTACAAACATTTTCAATTAAGTATTTGCGTTGAATGATTTTTCTTGCGATAAGCAGATGGATAATTGAATTTACAACATACAAGTCAAATTTGGAAACACCAAGGGCAGATTATCGTCACGTGTGGATGTGTTCTAATTGCACCTGAATTGAATTATATCACAGACGACATGGCAGACAAAGTTCCCTAATATGCTTTGTTTTCTCATTTTCACAAATGTTACGCTCGCTGCGGAAGTTCTTCTCTTTTTGCCCTAAAGTATTAACACTTGAAGCGATGCCGCAACGCTTGTATTAATTCTTGGACCAATGTTTTGGAACCTGTTCTAAACCGAAAAAAATTTGAAAAATTCATAAAGTTCAGGCGCACGTCACGCAAACCAAACGATCGCACGTGCGATCGTACGGCTGGATGCACGCGTGCCCTGTGATCACGGCAACGTGCTGAGAGTAAGTCTTCCCAGAGCTCCTCGCGTTTTCTCCGTTTCGTTGGAGCCTGGGGACACTAGTTAAATCATAAGTCTCGAGAATCTTGACCCAAGTATCATGATCAGGTTTTCTCGAGGCCTCCCTGTTTTCTATCTTGTAAAGAATGCGTAAATTAGCAAATGAATTCAACAACGAGCATCTCTTACGTAACAAAGCAACCATTATAAAACCTTTGTAGCACAGACTGTTGTTTCCCAACATTACAGTTAATTTACATTACAATCACGTACACGATTGTGCAATTAATTTTACAGTCGTATAGCTAAATTGATCAGTAAATGAGACCCTGACCACACTACGCCGGAGGAATTTTGAAAACGGAGCTTTATTTCGCCGGTTAGGCATACCGTCCACACTAATCCGTCACGAAAACGGAGCGTTTTCGAAAACGCTATTCAAACCGGAGGAATTTGAAAACGACGGCTCTGCGTTATAGTGAGGACGGAAAACATTTTAAAAACGGAGCTTTTCGAAAACGATCATCATCAGTCCTCATCGCGCCATCGGACTGACAAGGCCTTCACAGTCTCTCTCCAGCGCGGACGATCTTGTGCCGCCTTCCGGATTTCACTCCAGGTCAAGTGCATGGTCCCGAGTTCTTTTTCCGTTGACCTCCTCCAGGTTGTTCTAGGCCTTCCCCGTTGTCTTTTCCCTTCTGGTGTCCAGAATAGACCTTCTTTTCGAAAACGATGGCATCACGATAATAATGTGATTTTCCTCAAACACAAATCCAAAATGACCGTTTAATCTTGCGTTCATAATTATCATTGTTCTGTCACGCAAAAAATGTTTTGATTTTTATTCTGATCTATTTTGAATGGCGTGACACTGAAAACCAGCAATAAACCATGGCTGATTGACCAATCAGAGCGCGCCCATTCATTTGATTATTATGTAATGGCTCATAACCCATGATGGTTAAGCTAATAGGAACTCTCGAATTGCATTATTTAATGAGTCAGTTTTTAATCATGAAAATTAGCCGATGAGCGCGCGAGAATTTCCGCAATTATTGTGAAAATATGGACTAACTGCATGTATTCTCTGCTTCTTGTTCTTGACAATAACAGTATCGATAACAACAAGCTTTATTTGCTCGGGAAATGTTTTTACATGCACGGAAGATACTCACATTAGAAATTGATTAGCCATTACTTTATAAGCTTTGACGTGTTTTCTCTCACGTTATAGATGTCAAGAAATTTGATATGAGGGCCCAACGAAAAGTTTGATTGTAGAACCAGAAAGGGCCTGGAAACGATGATAGAATATTGAGCATGTTCTAACTTTGCTCAATACTACTCATTCTCTGAGCTCATTGGCTCTTTATGTGAATGACGTCAGACGTTCATCTTCATGAATTAAAGCTTGATTAATCAGTTACCTAACTGTAAGTGCAAGTAACTTCACTGAAATGACACCCGAACTTAAAATTTACATAAAGTTACATATGCATAAAAGTCATTGCAGATCAGTCAAATTAAGATCACAGAAAAGCCATACGAAACATTGTAGCCATGTTTTCTATATTTCATAGCTACGACACTTTTTGTTTCCAAACCCTCTTTCCAGCTCATCTCCTGACAAGACTACAAAACAATCTTCTGCACCGCGTGCAGTATCTAGTCCCACTCATAATCCCCCACCCATCCCAGACTCTTTTCGGGTGCCATGTTTCGTCAACAAATGCGCTCTAAAATCAGAACTGTTTTGCGGTCTAGCCAGGAGATTAAACCAGTTTTTAATGTTTCCTCTCAAACAGGTTTACTCATATTTCAACAGTTTCATTATTTATTGGACAGTCTGGTGTCAATTTCAACTGGCGTAGTAGACATCCAGTGTCTCAAACAGAGGTTCGGAGACGTCCAGTGGGGGGTCGGGTAAGGCTTTGTCAAAGCCTTCTTTACCAACCAACCAGTAGGTAGTCACCAGGCCCTGCCTCTGTCAAAAGAAAAAAACGCAGCGAAATTATGTCAACTGAAATGCAGTAAACCGCTAGCACAAGAGAATGGAAATAGATAATAAAAGTTAACATTCTAATGAAATTTTGACATTGTTTAACAACTTTTTTTTTGTTGGTGTTCCTTTGTTTGACCAATGTACAGAAAACTACAAGTTTAAATTCTTGTTAGCAGGCAGAAAAATTAACGTTTACAATTGTACTGTACGTTTGTTTCGTTTTTAAGAAGGAAGAGAAAACCAGCAGTAAGTTGTAAGATATGATGGTTGTCATAATTTATCATAGTACGTACAACTTTAGCGTGTGGAAACGGTACAATATGTTAATTGCATAGTCCTTTTAAATACCAAGCCTGACCAGCATCTATTTTCTCTTTATGAAATCAATATCAAGAGATGGATAATGAGAATATAGGTAGAGGGAACGCATGCATTCTTTAAAAGATGATTTCGCTCTGCTGATAAGGTAAAGGTGAAGGTGAAGGTGAAGGTGAAGGTGAAGGTGAAGGTGAAGGTGAAGGTAAAGGTAAAGGNCATTCTTTAAAAGATGATTTCGCTCTGCTGATAAGGTAAAGGTGACGGTGACGGTGACGGTGACGGTGAAGGTGACGGTGAAGGTGACGGTGAAGGTGACGGTGAAGGTGAAGGTGACGGTGAAGGTGAAGGTGAAGGTGAAGGTAAAGGTAAAGGGTGGCCCATTCAGCGACGAGGCTGATATCCAGAGGGGCCCTGGACTAAAAATATAGACCTGCTAGACCTGCATAGGCACGCAAGAAGTCTGAAAGTCATTACCAGTTGTTTCGTACCTTAATTTGAACTTGTCCTCTTTCCTCCATGTAAAACCCTCCAACTTCGATCAACCGTAAATGTGTTTCGTTGCTCACGTGGATACGTAAAGCTGCAACAATATTTCAATAAATGAACCAAATTCACGGCATCAACGTGCACTAGCAGCCTCCCCATGTTTGTCCCCTGCAAGATCGCGTGGGTACTTTGTACAACAAAATGGAAACCATCGTGGCAGCTATCGTGAATATGGCCTATTGAGAGCCATGTGGAATACCCTTACCCTACTTCTAAAGCGTTCCAAGGTGGTGCATGTTTCAAATTTGCACTGGTGTCACATGAAAACTGCTCTCCTTTTTAGCCATTAAGAATCGAGTAATTTTTCTAAATGTATTATTAAAAGTAAAACAACTAAGCGTGTTCTATACATGCATGAGTGCGTTCTTAGGATCAGTTACACGGTGAATACTTACGCAAGGAGGTGCTCTCCATTTTGGAAGCGATGTTGACAGCATGGCCATAAAGACAGAAGCGAGGCATGGTCACTCCAACAACCGCTGCTACCACGGGACCTATAAAAACAAGGTAAATAAGTTTTTACGTAGTCTCTTTTAATATTGCTACCACAAAGCTCCCACCCACCGTTTCCCACTGGTCCAAACACGAAAACAGCTACATTCAGAAAGTAGCTAGGAAGTCAAGGCCTGCTAAACCGCTGACCAAGATGACCGCAACCCTTACCCGTGTTGATGCCAATGCGCAGCTGCAGCTGATGGTCGGGAAGATGACGCACGCGAAATACAACCATGTGACTGAGGAGTTCCAGAGCCATGCTCGCGATCTCACTCGTGTGTTTGATCCCGTTCAACTTGGGACAACCGCTGACAACCACGTATGCATCACCGACAGTCTCCACCTGCCAAAAATAGGGAGCCGATTTTCTTAACATACGTTACAGGTCAACCAAGACAAGATAAGCTGCAAGCGTTGGAACAGATAAGCAGTTGGTGATAGTTGAAAGCTTACGTTTGCAGTGTGATTACACTGTACGTGGAAAGATTGGAAACGAAAGTCATAGAGCCCAAGAATATAACCATTGCACTTTACCTTTCACGCCTTACACTTACTCAGCAAACTTACCTTGTAAACATCAAAACGACTGATGATTTCATCAAATGATACGTATAAATCGTTTAAAAAGTCCACAATCTGTAACAAAAGGAAAATGTGCACGACATGAAATCTTTCATTTTTTAATGGCAGCGTTTTCGTCTTAGAATGAAAATGTGAAAGAGACTAATTTTCAACTCAAATTATTGATTTAAAGCTCAGCGCCAAGTTGTTTAATGCCCGATTAAGCTAACCCAGGATTAACAAGAACTTTGATTTCAGCTTCGTAACTTTTCTCTGAAGTTATCTGTTTCAATTGTTTTTCCTTTTGAATCAAATAATCTCAAACTACACAAAGCATAAGAAGTGAAAAAACATTTTTATACAAGAAAAATTAATACATAGGTTGTTATTTAATCCTGGGTTAGCGTTAACCGGCTTTAGAACAACCCGCGGCCCAGTATACCAAAGATGACATTCTTATAATAGGTACAACATTTCTTCAGGGACAGACCAGCCCCAAGGAGTGAAGAAACTGCAATGGGAACTTAAGGGTACTTTAACTTCAACCAATATTAAGTGAAGAATATTTATCAAGTTTGCGCAAAGTGCATTACAACATACCTCCAGTGGAGTACTAACTGACGCCAGCTTTGTGAATCCAACAATGTCACTAAAGAAGATGGTGACTTCTTCAAAACCCTCGGCCTGCACAGAGTTATGAGTTTTTAACTGGTCCGCTACCAAACTAAAGACAGATATATAAAGCGTTACTAAAGAGAGCTTTTAACTTGCCTGTGTCGAAAGTGATTAGCTATGCTTTGGCTTTGCATTACCACGTCTTGTGATCGGTTAAAAAAGCTCGCGCAATTTTCTTAACCAATCAGAAGAAGAACCAAAACTAATCGTCACTCGCTCACACACGTTTTCCCGCG